ATCATTATAATTCAACACATAAACCTGCTTATAACCATTATAATTCAACACAAGCCTTTCTTTCAACACATAGGCCTTATATACCATTATATTCAACACATAAACCTGCTTATAACCATTATAATTCAACACATAAACCTACTTATAACCATTATAATTCAACACAAGCCTTTATTTCAAGACATATACCTTATATACCATTATAATTCAACACATAAACCTGCTTAATTCAACACAAACCTCATAACCATTATAATTCAACACAAAACTATACAACAACTTCCAGAACTATTCCTATCCAGTAGTACAGAACACAACAACAACAAAAATCTCTAAAGAGCATAAACTTAACACAAAATAAATAAAGACAATATACCTTATATAATTCTCATCTCAAGAATGTATTGAAATCATTCCTCATTAATTTCTTCCAATTTATCTTTCGAGTAAGTAGCACACTTGAATTCATCAAAGTACTACATAATATAACATAATATGCATGATTTAGTTAAAACTAATTAATTTGATAAAATATCCGTTAAATTTTAAAATAAATCCTAACTTATAAATCCATACCATGTTTGGAATCTCTATTTGACCCAAATGAATAGTTTCCTTCATAAACCTCAATACAAAATAACTGCAATTTATACCATTACACCGACGAGGACACTACACATAGAAAAAAATACGAATATATATCAGGATATATAGTTTAACTTGTTTTATCAAGTAGCATCACTATTATAATCAAAATTGTGAAAATATATCTGCACTCTGATCCATGTAATGTTGTTTGCTTTACTCTTTGGTACTCAAGCTTGTCTTTGTGATCGAAATATTTGTATAGCTGGAGACAATTTTTTCTTATATCGAGAGACACCACATTTAGGACACTCATTTAATGATGCATATTTATTTCGAAACAAAATGCAATCATTTGCGCAAACATGTATCTTATCATAGTTCATGCCAATTGAGCACAACAGTTTTTTGGCCTCATAGGTTCGATTGGGAAGAACATTATCCTCTGGAAGCATCTCTTTCATAAGGGCTAATAACTCTGTGAAACTTTTATCCGACCATCCATTGTCTGCCTTTATGTTGTACAAATTTAATACCGCAGACAATCTTGTGAATTTAGTGCAGCCTTTATACAATGGTTTCTCTGCATCGCTTACCAACCTCTCAAACATTTTGGGACAATTGTGAAGATCTTCTTCAAGTGCTTCTGCAATCTCTTCGACTCGATCACAGTCGTATGTATTTGTACCATTGTCATTTGAAGCATAGGTCATATTATCCCCCCGGTTCAACATTCTCGTTACTTATCTCACCACGTAATATCCAACATGTATAACTTCAAACAATTCCATGCCTCTTTAAATGTGATTCCAACTGAACTGCGTCAATCTAACGCCCATAACAACAACCTAAGCAAGGACATGTGATCCAACTAGGGTCTTTGGCATGTTCAACGGTAAACTTAACGAATTCTGATACCACATTCTCATACTCTTTTGACAATCGATTAGAAGACATCAATTTTTTATCCATGGTTTTTACTAAGTAAGCTAAACAAAAACACTAATTATTCATGAAACTATAGCAAACAAACAACTAATTACCTGTAGAGAAGTCAGCAAATTCTAGAACCACACAGTGTAAGATTCTTGCAAACTATCACAATCTTACTCTTCACAAATAACCCCTATAGCAAATTCACTAAGTTAATAACTGATGGTGTACCAAATATAACAGGACAAATTTAGTAAATAATAGGACAAACAAGATATATCGGAGAAACAAGTCAAAGTCTCAAGAATTAAATTTATTAAACATCAACACTTCCTTCAATTAAGCAACATGGCATCGACGCGCAAATTTAATCACACTTAATGTTTCAACTCAAGTAAGTCACAAAAAATCATCAATTCGAGCATAAATCAATCACCAAAATCATCAAATCCACATTTAAATTACCAAATATAACAACTTCATCACTTAAGTTCAAACAATCAACAACATCACAATATTCAACAATTAATTCACGAATGTCATTCAAGTTTCAATCAACAACATCACCAATGACTATCAAAAATAAATTCACAATATCATCACTATTCATCATCTTCAACCTTAACAATTAACAATTAATTTCATTATCATTTTTAACCAACATTTTGATCAAAACAAAGTAATCACTAATTAACATTTTCAATCAACATTTAGATCAAAACAAAGATCTATCAAAACAAAGTAATCACTAACATTCAACAATTATCCATCAACAATGTTATTATCGTCAATTATTTTCAACAACTTCATCACTAACATTCAACATTAACTTACAAAATTAACACCAAATCTCAAAATAAATTCACCACAAATATCACTATTCATCATCTTGAACCTTACCACAATAAAATTTCAAAATCAAATTCAAACAACATTCACATCAAAACTTTCAATGTCTCATTTCAATTGTTTCCATAACAAACAAACTCATCAATTCATTCCAACAATTAATATCATTACTTTCACATCTTCAACACTAATTCACCAACAATGTCATTCAAGCTTATATTGAATTCAAATAACAACAACATCACAATGTATTTCATGGTTTGCGAATCCTAAAAAGAAAATGAAGAAATATCTTGCAAATAACCTTGAAAATGAAGAAAATGAAGAAATACCTTGAAAATGGTGGAGCATGGTCGGGCGCGAACAAAGGGAGAAGGACAGAACTGAAGCCATTTGGAGGGTGCTACGGCGGAGGGAGTAGTTGCGAGAGAGAAGACGGCCGGTCGGAGGGTGCTATGGTGGAGGGAGTAGTCGCGAGAGAGAAGACGGTCGGTCGGAGGGAGTGGCTCTGATAGGATTACAAACAGAGAGAGTACGTAGTCGCGCGCGCGCGCGCGCGCGCGCGCGCGAGAGAGAGAGAGAGAGAGAGAGAGAGAGAGAGAGAGAGAGAGAGAGAGAGAGAGAGAGAGAGAGAGAGAGAGAGAGAGAGAGAGAGAGAGAGAGAGAGAGAGAATGCATGGGTTTCCAAAACATAAAAATTATGTTTTATTTTCAGAATTTAATTACCTATAGCAGCGCTTTCTTATCCTATACCTATAGCAGCGCTTTTGCTTACAAAGCGCTTTCGTATCCTAGACCTTTAGTAGCGCTTTTGAAAAGCGTTGTCTAAGGTGTGATTTAGACAGGATCTATAGCAACGCTTTTGGAAAGCATTGTCTAAGGTGTGACTTAGAGAGGACCTATAACAACGCTTTTGTAAAGCGCTTTATAATGTAGGTTTTTAGCAGCGCTTTCAATTGTGTAGCCTAGGTATGACCTTTAGCAGCACTTTTCAAAAGCGATTTCTAAAGACATACTTTAGCAGCGCTTTTTCCCCTTGTTTTTTTAAAAAAACTTTTAGCAACGCTTTTGCGAAAGAGCGATGTCTTTGTAGTACTGCCAAAAAAGCAATTTTGGCGTAGTGCCTAGAAGTAAGCGAAATGGTTCCCGTCGAGTACGACGGATGCTTAAGGTGCTAGTACCTTCCTTTCCCATAACCGACCCCCTTTCTTGTTTCTTTTTCCTTGAGTTTTATCGATATTTCCCCTGTCCTTTGAGACTAAATAAAGTTCAATGGCGACTCTGTTGTATCTTTGAGTGTGCGATTCACTCAGGTGTAATCTCGCTAACCTCAGCTAGGCCAACAGTTATCTGCACTAGGTTGGATCATTAAGCACAATACCGATAACTGTCAGGATCTACGTGGTGTAGGAAGACCAACTCGTGGTCTTCATCATGAGTTAACTGCCTTGTGATCTTCAAAAGGTGGAGGACCTGTTCTCTCAGACGCGGGTAATTGTTATCTAATGACGTGTCCCCGCGTGAGAAGTACGTGAAAACTGTAGAGAAGACGTGTGAGAACTCTCCGTATAATTGTAAATTGAACTATCATTAAACCCTCATTAACAAAGAGTTGGATTGAACCGTGCCCGACGGTGGAACAGACTCTGGCCCAATCCAAAACACAACCCTACAAATATTGTAACAATCAAGTTAGTAAAACTATGAATGGAGTGTTTAGAGTTTTAAAATAGTGTGCATCTGCAATTTGAACTATTTGAAGATTTTAAAACCATATTTATAATAATTATTTATAATAGTTGTTTAGTAGGAGATGTGTTATAGGGATCCGTGAGTATACCGTTGAAACAGGCCATGATATTTTTGTCGGTAGACATTTTTCATACTTCTTTATAGACATTCTTCATTTTTGTGCGGGACATGTATAATAGTGGCCCTTAAATGTAAGGAATAATTAGAACAAAGGAATTGATTACACGTATGACGTGTGCATGTCTTTTTATTACACCAGATATTTAGTTCAAGAATCAAGCGGTGTTAAAAGAAGTCTTGGTCTACTTTTGCTGCGAATATGGTTAGAGGAGAATAAATAAGCCTTCGGTGGATTCACTTGCTTATCTTGTTTGATTCGGTGGAGAGAGGATATCAACATAGGATCATATGGTTTCAAATCAACTTAACTTTTCAACATGGCCACTACAAACAACGTAGGTATGTGAAAAAGTTTTTGTACACAAAAACCACATTAACAAAAAATATTAATATTTTCAATCTTATTTATACCTTATGAGACATTTTAGTTTGTTTATTCGTTTAACTATACTCGAAGAAATTTTATAAAAAAAAACGAAAGTTCCCTCATTATAAAGCCAAGGAACAAAAAATCAACATCGTCTTATGACTGAAGTTACCATAAGAAGCCAAGTGGTAGTCCTTATACCAACTCGTTTCCAACACACAAAACAAAAAAGCATAGCCTCAAAAGCTCTTAAAGACAAGGACTTCTCCACTAAAATTTTCACAGATTTTTCAAGGAATAATCTTCTCTACAAATACCTCTCCTATACCAAGCAACCTCATCACATTAACAACACTTTGTTGATATCTGATATCGATCATCAAAACAAGAAATTATGGACAACTACTACAACAACAGCTCCTATGGTGGTCAAGGGAAACAACATCGTCCCGGCCAAAACCATTCGAATATGGAGCTTTTCTCCTCTGCTAAGGTGTTGTCGGAAGCAGCACAATCCGTATACAACCATGAACCTGGCAAGATGGACAAGGCCAAGGTTGCAGTTGCCGCTTCTAATATCTTAGGTGCTGCTGGTGTTGATGAGAGTAAGGGCTTTGGCAAGTACGTTGAGAAATCCGCTGTTTATCTTAATAAACACGATTCTTCCTATGGTAACACCGGAGGAAAAACTGGTCATTCAGGTGGTGGATTTGGTGGAAGTGGTGCCTATGGAAATAAGATTACTGAACATTCAGAGAGTGGTTATGGACGTTATGGTGGTAGCTATAATAGGAATAATAGTGAGAGTGGATATGGAGGTGGACGTTATGGTGGCAGTGGTGGCTATGGGAATAACAATGAGAGTAGATATGGAGGTGAACGCTACGGTGCTAGTGGGTATGGAGGTGGACGTTCTGACGGTGGTTATGGAAATAATAATGAGAGTGGTTATGGTGTTAGACATTCTGGTTATGGTGCTAGTGGTGGTTATGGTGCTGCTGCCGATAACCGTTATGAGAGTGGATATGGCGAGGGAGTACAATCAAGTGGTGGTTATGGTGAACAAAACTATTCTGGTGGAGGCTATGGATATGGAGGGAACTCTGGTGGACGATACAGTGATGAACGTTCTGTAAGAGGGTACGGTAGGGATGGTGGAGATAGTCGCTCCGGTGGTGGATACGGCTATGTTTATTAGGTCAAAACTAAAGATGGATCAAGGGTTTTGGTGAAACCACTTTCACTGAATTAAACATAGATAATTATTATCACTTAAATAAGGGACAGTCCAAGGATACTTCTATTATATACTATTGCTGTGTTATGAAGTGTGAAAACACAACTTCGTGTGTACGCTGTTGTTTCTAAGTATAATTTAGCTTTATATTAATTTGTGTGGAATTTCTTTTAAGATAACATGTTTTTTTAAATAAAATATTAAATAAAATAAAATTTTAAAAATATTATAAAAATGTCTATGTTTTAAAGAGGAGTCGCCATATGAAATGGCTGATCAAGGTCTCCCAGACCTTATTCGCCATTTTATACGGCGCATGAGTTGAAAATTTCATGCTTTACCCTACACTGAGTCGCCATACCATATGGCGCCTCAGTTGCAGGATTTTTTAATATTTAATTTTTGTTTAAAAAAATATATAATTAAAAATAATAATAAAATTTGTTATTTTTAATATTTTATAATATATATATATATATATATATATATATATATATATATATATATATATATATATATATATATATATATAAAAGAAATAATAAATTATAATATTTATAATATAAAAAATCTTCAATATTGTACAACAAATGAAAAAAAAGAAAATCAATGACCGACTCTATAAAAACCGGTACTACATTAGAGAGGATTCGCGCGACGTCGAGGTCTATCACGAGGTTGTTGAGGTGTATCTGGTCTTTGCGTGTTTACTTGTGGAAGAGGTATTTGTTCAGATGACCCCGACATATCAGATAAATTTTGAAGCATTTGACCCCAATAATCAGGCTGGCCGCTGCCGACGAGCTTCCGTAATTAAGTTTAATGCCCATGTTTTCGTAGTTTTGTCGGGGAGGTTGGGTGGGGTGTGGACGGTATGGTTGTCCGAATTGGTACATTGAATCGGTTTGGAAACGATGTAATGGTTGTTGTGGGGTTTGGTAGTCAAAAAATGGATAGGTATTTCGTTGGTAGGGAGATTGATTGGCTGGTGTGGGGTCAAAAGAGTTATCTGGGCTATAAGTGGATGAGGTAGGGTCAAAAAATGTATCAGGGTTATATGCAGAAGTGGTGTCGGTTTCAAAAGGCTGGCGGTAGGGGTAAGGCTCTTATTGTTGTGATTGAGTTGGTGGCATGTATGGGTTGCGGTTTTGGAAGATTGATTGGGTGGACATAGTTGGATGTTGGGTATAACATGGTGTTTGATGTTGGGCATTGGGTTGCTGTTGTGGGTTCGAGGAAGACGCACATTGCATTTGGTCAATCAAATATGTCGGCTCAGACACAAATTGTTGTGAGGTTGTAACCGACCTAAACTAAATTATATATTGATAACTTGGTCTAGCCCCTTCCACACTAGGGTCAGTTAAGATGTGTTGATGTTGGTTCTTCCAATGCAGACACATCTCTTACGCAAAGTCATTTCAATGATTTACACTCCATTGTGTATCCACCCTTAGCTGATGCTAGTGTCCTAATAACGTTGGAGCGACTGGAATATCCTGATGCATCCCGAACTATAGTTTCACCCGATAATTTTGGTGCATCTCCACTGTAGTGAACTGAATGATATGTATTTTAGATGTCCACATGGCAACATCATTGGCGTTGGGCTGGTGGTCGAGACCCTCGTACGACATCCAGACAAACTACATTAACAATATATGTAATGAGAAATACAAGTATGTGTTTATCAATAGACAAAGTAATGGTAGATAAATTACATCATCTGACCCAATATGTTCTATAAGGTTGTGGTACACGATTATGGAGTTCCTGGGACATCTTTGGTAATTCATTCCCGGAACAGACCACCTAAAAAAAAGAAACACAAATAAATTAGTTACTAAGAAACATTGCAAAAATAATCAAGTTATGAAGAAACATCGTTTGTATACTCGTATTGAAAATAAACTTACTTGTTAGCGTATTGGAATGTGAATGAATTGCGGTTGATTGGAGCAAGTGTTGGCATCCTAGACCAACCTCACACTTGAAGGAGATAGGCGCAATCATAAAAAGTACAAGATTTTTTTTTTGTTGCATTTTTACATAACGAATTATATAGATGGGCGACGGCAGCTGAACCCCAACTATATGTACACACTTTATTAATGTTGTGCAACAACAGTACATACATAATATTTACAGTATTTCCAGTACTATCTGGAAATAAAAAATGACCAAATAATATCATAATATAGCACTGAGTTTTAAGTATCTTCTCATACTCGGTGGATTCCTCATTTAACACGATATTATTGTAGTGTTCTCTGAGGTATTTCAAATTAATACCTTGCCCCCTCGGCCGATCCTCATGTTGCGGCTGAGGTGTGTCTGTTGGTGTAAGCCCTAGAGGCCAATACTTTTTGGTACTTGTATCGGATTATTCGTTTAATAATAAAAGGCATTTCTTTATTATGTTTGTCTTTCAGAATAATAAAGTCCCTAGAATAGTTAGTCTGTTTAATGAAATGTTAAGTGTGACTTAATCATGAGATCCCATTAAACATAAAGACATTATTCTTAAAATATCCGTAGTCAAGCTTTATTGCAAAGTGGGATAACATTAAAAGCGTTGAGACTATTATGAAGATAGACTGATGATCACATCTCATGGATCATGGATAAAGAGTTATCAAGTCTTGACATAGGTATAAATATTAGGAGTAACATTTATACCGGATTGACCCGCTATGAGAATACTACATAGTATGTTATGCAAAGTGTCATAAGTTATTCTCATGGTGATAATGGTGTATTACCACCCTTCGACCTGAAACCACTATGGACCCTAGATGTAGAGTCGGGTGCTTTATTGCTGATCAAACATTATCCGTAACTGGATGATCATAAAGACAGTTGATGGGCACTCCACGAAGCATGCTGAGGGACATGAGTGTCCTAGATGGAATTTGTCAATCCTGCATAACAGGAGAAATGTCTAAGGGCCCAATATTGAATTGGACAAGGATGACACAGTGTATGTCTTGTGTTCAATATAGACATAGGGGCAAAAGGGTAATTGTACAAACATATATTATCACGAAAAAGGTTTTGTCAGATCACATGACATTTTCGTGACTTGGGTAGCAGTGATGTGTTGCTAGATACCGCTTACTGTTTACTATGTTAAATATATAATTTAATATAATTACCAACGTTACGAAATCCTACAGGGTCACACACATAAGGACAGTTTGATGAGAGATAGAGAAATCAAAGGAACACCGTAAGGTACGGTGCACTTAAGTGAAAAATAGAAATTCGGATAATATAATAATAATTATTGTTATTTTATAATGGTTATAAAATAATAATAAAATAAATATATTTATTATAATAATAGTTATTATAATAATATATAATATTATTATGGATCATGTGAATTGGGTTTTTAGCCCGCAGCCCACAAGAGAGTCTATAAAAGGAACCCTTGTGATGAAGCTTTCACTTGATGCAATTTCGTTTTTGATTCTCTTTTCTCACTCAAATAATTCCGTTCGTAAGCAGCTAGCACTGTGACCGGAAGCTGTTCGTGTGGACTGAGTAGAGGCGTTGCACTTCATCAACGCTTGTGATCGCTGCATCAAAGATCTGAATCGCCACAAAGAGGTAATGATTCTATCACTGACCATGCTCATTCGTAAGGATCACTAAAGGAAATTTTGTTTTCCGCTGCGTTTAGATCGCAATTTTCCATCAGTGGTATCAGAGCCACTTACGAAACCATGGATCTGATAGTTGTTAAATTTCCGTCTTTTCTGTATTTGATTCGATTAAAACACAGAATGAATTTAACAATAAATGATTAATTAAATTTGGCATCTGTTGTGTACGATTTGGATGATTGATGTTGATTATGCTTCAGAAACCGACATTAGTATGGTGAAGTTGTGCGATACATTGATCATCCATAGGTTACACAATTAGATCGATCACTTTTATATAAGATATAAGAAATTCTGATGCAAAGATGGTATATGGGATATACTGTTTTGATTTCATCCATTCAATCACATAAGGATTGTAATTCTTTTGAAAGATCATCATTTTCATTCGCTTCGGAATCCGACGTTAGTATGGTGAAGCAATGACATGTTGATCTATCATATTGAGTTATCAATCGAGTTGTGTTTGACGGCATGAAATTGTTGCATTAGGATTAATGGCAGTACAAGTGTTGTATTGCCGCAGACTTTTCCGGTTGGGGTTGTAAATGCACAAAAGTTGTGCAGGAAACGACGTGAAATACAATGAAGTGTTCATAAAATTTTTCGTCGGGGCGCTGCCCCCTTGACCCCCGTCCGCTAAACGGTCAGCGGAACCACCGTCCGCTGACCGGGCAGCGGAACCCCCGGCTAAGTCTGCAAAGTGTGATCAATCAGCCGAAATTTAATTTAGTTTATTTAATTATCGGAATTTTAAACTAATAATAAAAGTGTGTTTATTATTATTTATTTGTGGTGATCAGTTATGGCCTTAGTTTATCCTTTATTATTGTTTTGGGATTTATGAATACGGCCTGCGTGTCGTGCCTCTCTCTCAATCTCTTTATGTAACTTCTTTTCTCATCTCACTCCCTCGTATGTAAAACGAGTTTTCTTATATGTAATGTAATATTATGTTATGAAAAAAAAAGAGGAAGTATTCAATATTAAAGGAGGATAACCTTGGAGATCATGCTTGGAGAAGCTTAGATCGTTATTAGGTTAGCTTAGGTTCTCTCATTGGCTTGAGAGAACAATTGCGTTAGGGGCCATAATTGTATCTTTTTTATATGTATGTTGATGCATGTAATTGTATGTTGATGCATGTGAGAGACGTTTTGCATGTTAAGCCGGTGAGATCAAACTAATAACAAATTCCCTCAAAATTAAATATTAAGTTTATGCTTTCCAATTTTTAGCACTCATCAAGACTTGTATCGAGCATTGTAGGTTTCGCCTACGTGAGGTGCATGT